AACCTCCCATAGGGTATAGTACGCCATAACAGCAAAAAGAGGGAACCGGGCTCTGATACCAAACTGTAACACCCTACCCTACACGTATTACCTAATCATATTGTTCATACAATTGCAGCGGAAATAATCTCGGGTGTTACATTAATTATCAAAATTTACCCAAATAAAATTTCGACATGAATTACTCGCGTAATGGGCTAACAGTTCTTCCATATGATCCTGCAAAATAATTCATCTGAATCCATGCATTCATAGACAAACACATATACTCACAACCATATGCATTGGCTTTTCATAGCCATAGTCACAGTTTCATACTACACAACTGCATACCATACTTATACATACCATAATCGTCACAACTTACACAGTTACACAAATATACACATATCATCAACTTTCCACACCTGTGGATATCTCACACTACATCAGAAGCTAGTATGCATATGAAAAAAGTTCTGAAAACATTTTTTACAAAAAAGGTGTGGATCACTGGCCAAAATAGAGTAAAAAATTCCACCAGACCCTTCTGACAACTTCTCGGAACACAAAGGGACAAATTGGGGCTAACGAAAGGAGCAGATCGACCAACGCATCCATGGGACTAAAGAAGGAAGGCCAACCAGAAGTGCAACCAAAGTCCAAACACAACCAAAACCATCAAGTTCAATCACCAGACAACCAGAAGTCCCCTGCACCTCACCACACTGGATCCGCAGCCGAGTTGAAACAGTACGCATGAGTCTAGATGGACAGTAAAAGCTCTCTTGCTGCACAGTAATTGACTATGCTGAGGGATTTCTTCTTTCAATTAACTCGGCTCCGTTGATGCAATTATATATATATAATTAATACGTATACTTATCCGATCGATTGATAAATTCGATTTTCGCCGATATACTGCCAAAATGCTCGATTTTAAATCGCGAACTTTCTAGCGATCGAAATATGGGTTTTGCCGGAACGAGATGTTACAAACAGTACTCGTAGTATAACACAATACTACTCGTACTACGCAAAAGTTCTTGACATGGCTTGTTGTTGCTCATGTATGAGTTTAAGAGCTACAGATATGTTTGGCCCAATATCCCCTCTTCCTCCATGTAACCAATTGTGGAGACCCATTATGGCTTAAGCTTTCATCTTTGTCACTAGATTGAATGAATGAAGGATTTGTGAAATGTTCAAATTTTATAGGGTAAGATTATGTTGCTAATCAGAACTGCGACCTGCTATTTAACGATAAATATATTGATTTTTCCGGATCCTGACCTAGCCTGCTAACTTAGATTACCACCAACGGTGCTTTTCTTAACAGGATAGAACACCTTTTAGTTTTATTACTTTTACCACGGTTATAGGGAAAGCAAGGCGGGGTGAAAAAAGAAAAAAAAGAAGAAGAAAGGGGTAGTTGCCCATCAGGAAACTAGGGATGGCAACAAAACCCGAACCCACGGGTACCCACCCTACCTAACCCGGTCAACGCGGGTAAAATTCGTGTTGATGGGTTTTGGGCCGGGTTCGAGTTTAAACCCGCTACACTATTCACCGGGTCGGGTTGGGTTTGGGTTTAGGTAAACCCGACCCATGGGTACCCGCCCACACACATATAATTACTTTCCCGGTATATTTAATATTCTAAATAATATATTTTCTTTAAACAATTAATATTCTTTATGTTTGTGGAGACATATATGGGGCGGAGAGTATGACGACGACGGAGGAAGCAAGATCGGCGGTAGGAGAAGGCGGCAGTGGGGAGTGTAGCGGCGGCGATCAGCAGTGGAGAAGCTGAAGAGCAGAGGGAGTAGGATGCGGTGGTGGGGAGTTTTTCTTTACTTGTTTTTTATTTTAATTTTTAGAAACAATATTAATTAATTGAGTTTACATTTTTTTAATTTTGATATCAATATATTATTTATTTTTATTTAATTTTTAATTAAAAATACGAGGTTTCATTGACGTGGCATCTACGTGGCTATCACGTCAACAAAAGTTAATGTTAATGTTGACTTTCGTTTGATCAACCGTTATCTATAACGGTCAACGAAATCGTCAGGACATAAATGACACACAACTATCATACGTTGTGACATAAATGTCATATCGAATACTTTAGGACACAAATTACACAAAGTTAATAGTTCGAGTTTCCCAGTTGTATTAGCCCTTAATGTTATAATTGAAAATCAACATATAAATATTCGATATACAGGACGGTTATTACCCATGGGTATCGAAAAACCCATGGATATGGGGATGAGTTTGTAAAACCTTCCCCGAATAGGTATGGGTATAGATATAGATATTTGAAAGCAGGGATGTGGATGGTTTAGACAAACCCACCCCATTACCCTCCTTAGTTACCAAATATAGATCGAGGGTTGGGAGCTTCCTGGTTGTGTGAAATGTGACATATCATAAATTAAATTCAGCAGTGGCATGTACATCAATCCTCCTAGTCCTAGTCCTAGGTAGGGGGCGCTAGGTTATTAGCTACCTAGCTAGTTCCTGCATTGTCTACTATTACATCCCAAGTTCCCAACCAAGAAGCTAGCTAGCTAGCTCTTCCTATTACTTCTCAACCCCCAAAACCTGTTCACACATACTCATTTAACCTTTTATTGAGCTGCTGCCACTATTTTTCATTGTTCTTCATTTCTATGAGAAACATAAAATTTCATCGATAGTAATTTATTTAGATCATGAAACTGTTGGTTATGACGACACTTTTCATGTATGTATTATGTACACAACTTATTTGCTCTTTCTTTGGATTGAGATTCATTTCTAACTCATCATTATGCATCCCGAGATGATTCACTCTGCCTGCATAGTGCATCCTTATGCTCTCTCTAATGGAATAAGCTTGCCTTCTAGGCATTCTACTACATTATTCACATGATTACAATGAAGTTGCCGCGCGACCATCAAGATTGTAATTCATCGTTGAGTGATCGAGGTGATAGACTGATGAAATTGAGTATCATTACATGTTGAAATTCAGATAGCATCAAAGGAAAATTGATATTTTTGTGACATGGATGGAAATTACAAGAGATAAGAGAAAAGTAAACGGAAACTCAATATCTACTAATATATTTTACAAAAATGACTCATTTTTAATAGATTGATAGACAGATTGCCATACTACCTTTTCCATATTATCAATTAACATTTTGATTGGAATAAAGTATGGCAATGCATATGGATATGGGGCTCAATTTCTATTTCCTTTTTTGTTTGATAAAACATGGGGCTCAATTTCCAAATTGCATGGATCCATGCAAATATTGGGAATTTGGCAGAGGCAGGCAGTTCGATAATCAAGAAGGACAGCGAGCGAGCAAGTGTAGGCAGCCGGCGCCCCATCTCCTTAAACACACAAATAATGCACTGCCCAATCTGCAATCCCCGCTAGCTCATAATTCTAGGTGCCACCCAAATATATATTATATTATAACAAGAAAAAAATTAATTAAATAAAATACAAGAGCTAGCAAACAAAGCCAAGGGGGTATTGGTTGGGTGTAATTGGAGGTTTGCTTTGGTGTATTTTATATATTGATTGATGCTATTTGATTATTATATGAGATGTATTTCTCAGGAACATTCTCTGATTTAATGTATTTGGTGTGTAAACAAAGTGAAAGAGAATACATTTATAATACTCACTTTGATTATTGTTTAAAGTTTGATCAGAAAATTTATCGGGTTAGTTGCAACGATTGGTTACTGAGATTACTAAAAATGTTCTTTTTTGTCACAACAAATATTCAATTCCATTCGTAGTCATTAGAATTAATCAAACAATCCAAGTTTGGTAACTCTCCGTTACCTTCCGTCAATCTCCGTTAACACCGTCAGTTTTTTGCTGACGTGGCTAACATAGATGAGGGGTCGGGTCAACTAGAGGAAGAAGATGAGGGGTCGGGTCATGGGTTGGTTGGGTATTTTATTATAAGGGTTGGGTTGGATACCTTATGGGGTCGGGTCAGCAAAATATTGACCATGTTAACGGAAGTTGACGGAAGATAATGGAGAGTGACCAAACTTGGGTTGTTTGATTAATTCTAATGACTATGAATGGAATTAAATATTTGTAGTGAACTCAGTGACCAATGTTCAATTAACCCAAAATTTATCTGTAATTTCTAGTTTGATGGGATATTTCAGTTGGGACCAGAGTTCCGAGATTAATATATTGAAAAAAAAAAAGTATCGTAATTCGGAAGAGGTAGAGTTTAATGACTTATATTTTTATAGTTTGACATGAAATCTAACGTTTGGCCAATAAAATCAGAGAAACATATAGCTATAAATACTGCATTTATGGTTTCCTTTGATCAATACGAATGGAATTTCGTGGCTTTTGGTTTGCAAAATACCTCTTTACAAAGAAGTATGAATAAAATATATTCCCTTTTAATTTAAAAAAATACTATTGATATGGGTCTCCCTTGTATTCTCGGTACTTTTTATCCAATTATACCAAACCTGTGTTTGAGAAACAATCTATTTGTCAATTGCATGCAAGTACAAATTTTAACCTTCTAGTTGTTTGTAGCAAATATTTGATTATCTCACATTCTTGATATTTGCAAGCGAATTCTTTTTTCCCCTAATATTGTTTTCAGAATATAAAATATACTAAAATATTCCGAAATTGAAAGCAAAAATTTAGGGGTTGTTTGGTTTTGGTGATAGTTAAATTGATATATTGTTATCAATGCATGCATAATAATATACATATATATACGAAAATTGGTGTATTGTAGTTTACATCGTTTGTTTTATGTGATAGTTATTATAGTATTGAATAAGTTGGATTACTTTTTGAGTTAAATGCCATTTTTACGGTTTGTTTCTAATATAAAAAAGCAACACACATAATTAAGTAGGGTCATAGACTCATAGTGGAAACAAAAACAAACCAAACAATCTCACAAAAAACTTGAGATTTAAGTATCACTCATTTTGAGTGATAATTTGAGTAAAATAAAGTAACAATGCTTATATTGTTTGTGAAAAAAAAAATTCAAAAAAACGATGCATTGTAACTATCCCTACTAAACGATCCGTGAGTGATTGGGTTTTAATTGAACACATGGTCTAATCTAAAAGTACCAACCAAAACAACTTGCATGATGCAGGAGCAGGAGAGTAATAGGCATATTAATTATATTAGCTACAAAGCATGAATTACAGTTGGTTGGTTCATTCCTTACATAATGCATACTAGTCTACTTGTGCACCAATATCCCTCTCTTTTCTTTGTTAAGGTTGCTTCCAAATCCAATTACTGAAACTAAAACTTATTCGGACTTGATTTAACCAACCAACCGATCGATGAGAGAGAGGGAGAGCGAGCATAGTTAGTTTAGTTATAACTAAACTAAGAAAGAGGAGCCCTGTGAGGAGCGCCCTTCCTCCTGCTCCCGAAGGAGAGAGCAGCTTGCAGGAAACCCCCAGATGGGCCGTGCTTCTTCTTCTTCTTCCTCGTCAGCTGATTGGTGGCGGTGGAGGATGGGTCGGCCTCGGCCACGGTGCGGTGGTGGTAGGGCGGCATGGAGTTGAATAATTGGGCTTGGCCGCCAGCAGCTTCATCGTCGTCAGTGATCTCAGAGCTGTCCATCCTCAAATCCTCGAACTGCGAGAACGCCATGTCCTCCGACCCAGCTGCAGCTGCTGCTGCACCATCATCCTCCTCCTCGTCGTCAACTACTGGCTCATTCATTGTTCCTCCGCCGGCGCCCATCACCAGGATGCTGCCCAGCTCCTCCCCTCCCTCCACCATGTGATTCACCTGTTTTTTTTTTTTATAGTATTTATTAAAAAATATAATTCACCTGATCCTGAATAAAGGAAAAAAAACATTATATTATTTATAGGAAAGGAGAGGAGAGGAGAGCATGTTGTACCTTGCAGGAGAGGGAGCAGAAATGGAAGGGGTGCTGAAGGATTCTGTCGCAACTGAAGCAGACGTTGTGGGCAGTGACGGCCTTCCCCCCACTCCTCGTCTGTGGCCTCTCCTTCACAAATATCACCTTCGCACTGTTTATCGTATACGACTGCCACCACCACCACCACACATATTATTGCACTCAAAACCACAATTCTACGCTTTTGGTAGAGAGCCAAATTTACATTTTAAACCGTGTTTAATTTTGACCACATAATATAATAATTAATTATGAGTGATCATCTCACCTGGATGTAGGAGCAGTCAATGAGCTTCTCGAGATCGCCTAGACGAACAACATCATGGTACACGTATCTCCTAACCTGGGAAAATCATTCATTCCAATTTTAAAAACAGCATTATTATCATGATTGATAGGGCTATGAATCGTGAATTCTGGGTTGGATAATAAATAATCCAACAGTAGAGTACCAGCAGTGCGTGAAAATTGAATGGGTAGTTAGAAAACGAAAATGTTGACCGAGGGTAGAGTTAGGCAACCAACAAGTGCTGAGGATGGAAAGGAAATAAATGAAGCGACGCAGAGAATAAAGTGTGCAACTCAAGGATTTTGGGAAATATATATAATCAATGAGAGACCTTAAAGGCCCCCAATGCAAAATCTTTAAAAAAAAGCTAGGGAAATAAATGGTGGTCGGGTCGGTCAAAGTTTCGCTTTCAATGAAAGCAACAGGAGAGGAGAAGGGTGTTTGCAATTGCAGGGAGAATAGGATAGAGAAGAGAAAGGGAAATCTGCCTTGTTCCGCTTAACTTAACGGGACAGGACAGGACACACCTCCTTTTCTCTTCTTCTTCTTCTTCCCCGATTCCAAAAAGTGAGAGAGAATCAATGCAAGAGCGACATCTCTCCCCCAATCCAACCCTTTTTTAGAATTTCACGACATAATCTGTATATTTATGTATTTACAATTAATAATAATAATCATCATCATTTCTCAACAAGAACAAAAAAAAAAAATGGCAAATTTCCATGTTTTGTTGTTGTTGCATTTATGACTCCACAGTAGAGAGAGAACAGCAACGACAAGAACAACAATTAGCTAGCTGACTCCTATCAAGAAAACTTGTACAATTTCTGGTTATCGAGATAACACCCATATATATAACAAAAAAAAAAAAAAATCAAAACCAATAACCCAAAAACATTCAGAACATAAAGGAATTATTTATTACCGGAGAAAAAAAAACAAAAAAAAGAAGAAGATGAAGGAACTTGAAAAGATTATCTTCTTCAATTTTTTTCTTGAAATCAAAAGAACCCATTAAAGATCCTTGCTTTGCTTGGCTACCTCTCCACTTCAAAATCAAGGGAAGTTAATCTCTAATTGGGGGAGATGGGTATGTAGTAGTGTTGGTAAGGTAACTCAATTATGAAGAATTCATTACTGAATTTCGGAAAGCACAAATTAATTATTATTATTGTAATTACTAGTACTATAATATAAAGCCTTGGGAAGGAAGGAGTGACTGACGAGTGTGCTCTCCACTCTTCTTCTTGGCTGCTGCGTGAACCCAATTCAATTCAATTCAATTGTGCTCACAACCCAAGATAGAAGAGAGAAAACAAAATTAATTAACACCCAAATTGAAGGAAAGAAGGCAGCTACAGCTAGCAAATTGCAACTCTCGAAAAGACAAGTGAAGAAAAAAGCTAAGTCGACAGTAGAAAAAAGGCAGCCCAAAAGCCAGCCGGTTCAACAATAAATTAACAAGACAGAAAGGAGAGATCTTTTTCAACAAGATCCTCATTTCTCCGCTCGATCGTGACAATTCCACAATGAACAGTGGCTGGCTAGCTCCATGGTGTCGCTGCCCAAATTTTTTTGTATTTTTTATATATAAAAACATGCTAGACAATTATTATTAAATTAACGCGAACAATTTCAAGACTAGCGGAGAAGAATTTCCATGGAAGGGGTGGAAATGGTTAAGCGGAAATTGACCAGTAACGAAGAATAAGTGTAATTTGTAGAGAGGGAAAGAGAGAGACAGAGATATATATATATATACCTGGAGGAAAGGGTGGTCGCGGTGCTGAGCAGGGAGGCAGTGAGGGCAGATGCTGTGGCAGCAGAGCAAGCAGTAAACGTTCTTCTCCTTCTTCCTCCGCTCCTCGTGGACCACACAGCTCCCGAAAAAGCTCTCCCCCATCAGCCCCGACAGCCATGCAGGCACCTCCACCTCCACCTCCTTCTTCTTCCTCCTCCTCCTCCCCATCCTCCTCTTCGCCGCCGCCGCCTCTCCGTCCCCTCCCGTCACCATCTCCGCCGCTGTCGACGACGACCAACAGTAGTAATTGTTATTGTTGTAGTAACTAGTATAGTGATTCAGCCTGTCCTCCCTACCCATGAGTGGAATTCACCAACCAAAATGACAAATTCTGTTATATGGGTTCGTTTATCTTTTTTTTTTTTTTTTTTATTTCTACGGCCAGAGAAGCAAAACCAGAATTGAGGTTTGAGAGAGGAGAAGAAGGAGAGAGAGAGAGAGAGAGAGAGAGGAAATGGTAGCCAGCCAGCAAGCAAGACTGCGTTGCGTACTACTGGGTCTGAGAGAAAAAAGAGAGAAAACCCTACTGCTCTGCTCTCTAATAAGCAATTTTTTTGCTTCGCAGCCATCAAGATTTTTCGGCTTTTATATAGACGACATGCTGCCGCGTCTATTTTTATTCTTATTTTATTTTTGAACAAAAATAATAAGAATAATGTGAATTCAGGTTGTTTCCCGAATTATTGTCGTGGACGAACAGTCAAAGACAAAGGGAGGAGGAGAAGAAGAAAGGCAATATCATTGTAATAAAAGAAAAACATAAATTGTAAAAGGATGGCTAACGCTGTGTGAGTATGTGTACCTTTTACACGGGATGAATTACTATTTCTTTTTTTATTTTTTTTAATTTTGATAATTCTTATAGTTCTTACTTCTTACCTTACCCCTGTGAATTGTGATGACGAGGATGATGATGATGATGATGATAAGGATTAAGAATCCTTGTACTCTTCTACTGCATGCCCATTGGTATTCAGAAGGCTCTCTTGAGATTTGTTATACTTGTGTACATCAGCCTCTAAGAACAACATATATATATATAGTGATGGAAACGGAGGGTGTTGAATTCATGTTGAAGGGGGGAATTAAATTCATGGGCAGTGAATTTGGGGATTCACTAATGATTTAGTTGACAAAAAATTGAAGAGGTGTTTGAGGATATGGCAATTGAATTAAGCAATGGCTGAAAACACAATCCATTTCATAATCATCGTGTTTGACGAAACTTTGACTTTTTACCGGTACGTTACGTTATAAATGAATGTGATATTTTACCTTATATGTGGTACTTTTTTTTTATTAGCTATTCATTTTACAATTAATAAATTGAAAAAAAATACTTATTTTTCGAGCGTTTATTTACAACCTCTGTTTTCATAACCGGATTGGAAAGTTGAACCGAAAAACTTGGTGATTCTTGGTTCAATAGTTAACTGTTGTAGAACCTTTGGTTAACTGTTTGTAAAATCGTTCTGAGTTTATGCGGAGTACCACCAAAGTAGATGGCACAATTGGAACAATTACGAAAAAAAAGACAAGAAAAGGAGGAGAGCTGGTTTAAGACTCGACAAACACACTCGAGTTCAAAAGCAGAACCTTTAATAAATATAAGAAGATTATCGGCAAAACAAAGGTAGGGGCAACCATGAAAGGCTTTGCATTGTGGATGGTAAGGCAGTTGGTTGTCCGTAGAGTTTTATCAAGTAACGAAGACAAAACCTAAAGGGAAATGCTAAACAAGTAGGTTGAGCGCGGGTCACCTTGACGCATACCTTTATGTGTAAAGAAATAACCTTGTAAACCACCATTGATAGTTATACCGAAGTAGGTTGAAGTTACACATTATCGAACCCAGTTGATAAACTTAATTGAAAATCTCATAAGATCAAGAAGGCAAAACAGATAATCCTAGTTGATTGAATCAAAAGTCTTTTTAATGTCTGTTGAGATGGCACAAATCAAGTTAGCAGATTGCCAAGATAATTGAAGCACAAATTAAGGGGGAGCAGATCGATCAATCAGGGATTTCAATTACCATCTGCTCAACCTTCCATTTCTGCTCAAGATTCAAACTTAACGGCTCTCTTGGAAGGCTATTTAAAGAAGCAGCAGAGGAAGGGTCAATGCACTAAAACACGAGCTAGGATTCTTTGTGTTAGAGGGCAAAGGGTTGGGTCTTTAGTTCAGTGGCTTTGATATGTGTTGGGGTAGAGGTTCAGCTAGATCAAAGGGTGTAACGAATTCTTGTGCGAATTCGAGTCTGTCAATTTTGCATTTTGATTTTCTCACTTGTGTCTGTAATCATTTTCTCTTCTTTGCTTGAGTCTAAAAGAAAATCAAAAGTGTCTCTCGGGATAGTGGTACTATCCCGGGATGAGGAGTAACCCTGTGGTGAACCTCGTTAAAAATCTCGTTGTGTTCTTTACCTTCTGTTTCCTTTCTTCTTGTTGCTGCAAGCTGCCTCTGTTCTGTTTCATTTTGGTTTTGTTTTTGATTCAGCAAAGAAGAAGATGTGTTTCCTTCTTCCTTCTCTGAACTGAAAGCGGGCCTGTTGGGACTAAGCCCAGATTTGATTCTTTCGGATCTGTGGGCTTATTTAATCTTGACCCAACTGAATCCATCTCTTACTACATAGCAAAGACCATTTCTGTCTGAGTCGTTTTGGTTGTTCTTCTGCTGACTTTTATGGTCAAAATCCCTAACTGAGTTGAGAGCATTTCCTGTTTACAAGTGGTATAAGAGCAGGTCCTTGATCGAGCTCATTACTGCCAAGAGAAGATCCAGATCGATGGCCTCCACCAACTTTGGTCATGCATCTTACAACCATCCACCGATTTTCACGGGGTCAAATTACACAGCCTGGAAGAAAAGGATGAAGACCTTTCTCCGGGGAGTCGATACAAATTTGTGGACTGACACGCCAAAACACAACACCAAACTGCGACCAAGTGTAATCGCAGTCCGAGAATGCAGTAAAGTGGCAAGTTCTAAATATCAACCCGGGGTCTAGATCTACTGCCTACTCCATGATTATCTATTATCTAGCCAACTAAGTCGATTGATTGTTGTTTTAACTAAAAGCAGAAAGAAAGCAGGAATTGGTTCGGTTTTCTAAAGCAAGGAAGAGTCACTCGGGAATGAGTCCCCCTAGCTCCTTAGTTAGGTCTCAGTTGTAATTACCCTGGGTTGATTTACTGTTGATTAGACTGCGGAAGATCCGACAGTAGCTTGGAATCTCTTAAGCTGACCAAGCCCTCTCAGTCTAACTACCCGGCAGACGACTAGTCTTCACCGGGATAGAAAGCTGAAGCAATAAGCACAAAACTCCACTACTGGAATTGGATTCCAGTACAAAGCAGTAAACTGGCTAACTCTTGTATAGCCAATCTCCTACTACCGAATGAAGAAGCTCTAACAACCTAATCAGATTCTATCTATCTCAGGTTGCAGCAGAAATCAAGAAAAGCTGATCAGACTTCAATCAATTCAATGAAACATGCATCATTCGATTAAAACCAAACAGTATAATCATCCCAAGTCATTACAATCAAATCCCTAACACATGGAACTAGGGTTCTTCATACCCAAGTGAGAGAAGGGTTCTACTCCATAGAGAGAGAGAAGAAAACAGAATACAAAGCAGTCATACTCATAACAATGGGAAGAATCTGCTTTGGGATGATGATTTCCACTCCTATGATGATCTCCAAGCTCGATTTGATGAAACCCAGCTCCAAGATTGCTTCTAGGATGAGTTCTTCGCACTTTCTCTCTCTAGGGCTTTGTTTTTGCTTTCAAAAGTCGATTCCCTAACTTGTGGCTCGAAATTGGGTAAAAACCAGAATTCCGAACCCACACGGGCAGGCCACACGGCCGTGTGGCATACCCAGATGCCCGTGTGAGAGACAAAACGCCGCGTTCCGAGTAATTGGATTTCAGGCTTCCTACACGGCCAGGGACACACGACCGTGTGGCATGCCCAGTCTGCCCGTGTGAAGCCTCGCATAATCCCACACGGCCACATTGATTTCCTACACGGCCGTGTGGGTTTTATGGGTGCCCGTGTGGCTTCCTCAGCGACTCGCCACACTTCCGATCTTCGTCCAGTCGACCCCGAACTCGCTCCCAAACCTTCATTCACGTACTAGGACCTGAAATATCACAAACAAGCACACCCTAGCGTGAAATCGGCCTAAAACACGAGAATCAACATCTCAAACGGCTCAAGAATAGGGGTAAAAACATGTGCAATTAACGGTCTATCATGGACTGTCGTGCGTGATGGGCCTGTCTCCATGGATGCAGATCAGCAAAATTTATGGTCAGCAGCTCAAAAGAAGAGCGCCCAACTAAATCAAAGGGCTATGCACATCCTGTAGTCAGCTATGGCATCTGAAGAAGCCGATTAAGTGGAACATTGAGAGACTGCGCAAGCAATCTGGAGTTCACTGGAGAGCACTTACGAAGGATCATCGAACATCAAAGAAACTAGAATTGATCTTCTGGTCAACGAATATGAGTGCTTCGACATGGATCTAGGTGAAGGAATTCATGAAATGTACTCTCGATTTACAGTTCTTATTAACAAACTAAAAGGATTAGGGAAAACTTTTCTCACTAAAGATTTAAATAGGAAAATCTTAAGATCTCTTCCTAAGGAATGGCTTCCCAAGAGGACTGCTATAGAGGAAGCTCGAAACTTAAACACTCTTCATGTAGATGAGCTTGTTGGATTTCTCTAATAAGTCTCGATTTACAGTTCTTATTAACAAACTAAAAGGATTAGGGAAAACTTTTCTCACTAAAGATTTAAATAGGAAAATCCTAAGATCTCTTCCTAAGGAATGGCTTCCCAAGAGGACTGCTATAGAGGAAGCTCGAAACTTAAACACTCTTCCTGTAGATGAGCTTGTTGGATCTCTCTAATAAGTCTCGATTTACAGTTCTTATTAACAAACTAAAAGGATTAGGGAAAACTTTTCTCACTAAAGATTTAAATAGGAAAATCCTGAGATCTCTTCCTAAGGAATGGCTTCCCAAGAGGACTGCTATAGAGGAAGCTCAAAACTTAAACACTCTTCCTGTAGATGAGCTTGTTGGATCTCTCCTAAGTCACGAACATGTTCTTAAACAAGTTAACAACAATGATGAGAAACGGAAAAAGTCTTTAGCTTTCAAGTCTCAGCCAATAGAATATGAATCTGATTCTGATCTGGGAGAGGAATTTGTTAGAGAATTTGCTCTAGTGAGTAATAAATTTCATAGGATGCTGAAATATAAACAAGAGCAAAATCAAAAGGCTAATAATAGAAATTCCTATAATCGCTCTAACCCTTTTGACAAAGTTAAAAGTTTCCCTCAAAACAGGCTGCGTACTCCACATACCAGGACTTTTGAACCAGGTAATCAAGAAAGGGAAGCTCAGGATTGCTATAAATGTGGAAAGCCAGGACACATTCGAGCAAACTGTCCGCTTACTTTAAGAGCAAAAGAAAAAGCAATGAAAGCCATCTGGAGTGACTATGAATAAGAAGAAGAAGAGGATTTAGGAGATGAAGAAGCTCTCATGGCTTCAGCAGAACTAAATGACTCTGAATTCTCCTTCAAGACAAGTCAGAATTTATACACTCCTACAACCGACTCAAAATGGTATTTGGACAGTGGCTGCTCTCATCACATGTCCGGTAAGAAACATCTGTTTAACTCCTTGACTATGAAACGTGGTGGAAAAGTTACATATGGTGATGATAGTCAGGGATTAATTATTGGCTCTGGATGCATAGGAAAAAACCCTTTACCTGTGATAAAAAATGTTCTGCTTGTAGATGGATTAAAACACAATCTTCTGTCTATTAGTCAACTACGCAGTAATGGGAATCGGGTCATTTTTGAAAATGACAGATGTTATGTAGAACTGATGCTCTAAAACACAACACCTAACAATGGCCAAGTGTAACCAATGAAAGGGACTGCAGTATAGTGGCACAAGTAATAAATATCGTATCCACGGGTCTCTAGAGTTACTATTACTCAGCTTCAGTTCATTATCTAGCAGACTAGGTTAAGGATTGATTAACTAAACTACTATACTAACTAAACTAAGTAAAACTACTAATTACAGTTTGGGAACTACTTAGGTATGATTCCCCCTAGCTCCTCAATTAGGTCCAAGTTGTAATTCCTTTTGGTTGATTTACTGTTGATTAAACTGCGGAAGATCCGACAGTAGCTTGGAATCTCTTAAGCTGACCAAGCCCTCTCAGTCTAACTATCCGGCAGACGACTAGTCTTCACCGGGATAGAAAGCTGAAGCAATAAGCACAGAACTCCACTACTGGAATTGGATTCCAGTACAAAGCAGTAAACTGGCTAACTCTCGTATAGCCAATCTCCTACTACCGAATGATGAGACTCTAGCAACCTAATAAGATTCTATCTATCTCAGATTGCAGCAAGAATCAGGAAAAGTTGATCAGACTTCAATTGACTAAATAAACATGCATCATTCGATTATAATCAAACAATATAGCATCCAAAACTTCATACAAGAAAGATCCTAACTCATGGAACTAAGGTTCCTCAAAACCTAAGTGAAGGGAAGTTACTCCATAGAGAAGAGAGAGACTGCAGAAATCTGATCTAGATCTTCAATCTCCATCTCCAAGCTTGATTCCCGAGCTCCAATGGCGAAGAAATCCTCCGAAATAGCTCCAAGAATGTTCCCAAGTCGCTCTCTCTCTCTAGGGTTCGTCCCTTGGGTGTTTGGGATCCAAAACCCAGCTCTCCCCCTTTCCTTTTGCTGAAAATTGGGTTTTAAACAGCAATTCCCGACTCACACGGCCAGGCCACACGGCCGTGTGGCTTTCCCAGCTGCCTGTGTGAAGGCTCGGTGATTTCCACACGGCCACATGGCCAGGTCACACGGCCGTGTGGGTTGTGCCCGTGTGGCTTGCTCAGCCTCTGTTTAATGCTTCGTTTCTCCCTCGTCCGGACTCCGAATCAGTCGCCGTTTGATCCCAGACACTCGTAGTCTCGTCCTCTTTCTTTTCATGACAAGCTTGCATGATTCTTTGTCCATAAAGTGAGGTAGAAATCCATTCTTCTTCAAGTCATACCCGAGTTTCTTCTCCCGAATCGTCAATTGATCTCTGATTGACTTGAAACTTGCGCCTATGCTTCACTTTATGTGCTAGGACCTGAAATGTGACAAAGGAACACAACCTAGCGTAAAATAGGCCAAAGACACGATAATTCAATCTCAAACAATCAAGAAACAAAGGGGAAAACATGTGCAAATACCGAGTCATCAAGAACAAATAAATGAAAATAAGATTCTACTTGTTGGCAAAAGAGTCAATAACATGTATATTGTTGATCTGACTTATTTGAGCATGTTCAATGCTAAATGCCTACATGCATCTTCTCAGTCTTCTGAGTTTCTTTGGCACAAATAACTAGGACATGTTAGCTTACCAAAGCTAAAAGACAAAGCGGAATTCTTCTGCGATGCCTGTGCTGCTGGAAAACACAAGAGAAAAAATTTCAAACCCAAACCTGACATTACTACCTCTAGGACTTGCGAACTTATACACATGGACTTGTTTGGACCCTGTAATGTCACAAGCTTAGGGGGGAAAAGCTATGTTTTTGTCCTAGCGGATGATTATTCTAGGTATACTTGGGTGTTTTTCTTGGCACACAAGGATGAAACCTTTGAAAACTTTCGTTCGTTTGTCACCATGCACAAGCAATCTTTAGAAAACATTCGTAGTGACAATGGAGGTGAATTCATTTCAGATGAGTTTGCTGATTTCTGTGACAAGTCAGGAATATACCATACTTTATCTGCTCCTCGCTCTCCTCAACAAAACAGAGTTGTCGGACGTAAAAATAGGACTTTGATAGAATGTGCTCGTACCATGCTTCTAGACTATAATCTACCTAAGTTCTTTTGGGCTGAATCTGTAAACACAGCTTTATACATAATTAATCATGTCTTGGATAGGAAACAGTTAAACAAAACTCCCTATGAATTACTAAAGAGTAAAACTCCTAGGATTTCGTACTTTCATCCTTTTGGATGTCCCTACTACACGCTGAATACACGTGATTCTCTAGGGAAGTTTGATGCCAAATCTGATCCTGCTACCTTTCTTGGTTATTCTTCAAAGGGTCAAGCTTATAGAGTTTTTAATAAGAGAACTAGAAAAGTGGAAGAATATGTTCATGTCGTGTTTAATGAAACAATATCTGTTGCACCAGATCCTTCCATGGCATTTGATTTATGTGAACTCACTTCGTCCTGTCAAGAGTCTTATAGTGAGCAGGATACTTCAACCAAGACTCAGACTATTGAACCTCAAGATCAATCTGTTGAAGAATCTGAGCCAGCAACTGAGGTACCAAAGGCTCCACCTCACATTCAGAAAAGACATCCTGAAAGTCAGGTCATCGGCAAAATGAGTGATGGACTTCAGACTAGAGGTAAGTATATCCCTGGTCAATATGCTTTTGTCTCCCAATTTGAACCAAAAAACTGGAAATAAGCTTTACAAGATGAAGAGTGTTGTTTGTCTATGGTAGAAGAATTAAATCAATTTGAACATCTGCATGTTTGGGATTTAGTTCCTAGACCTGCAATTTGAACATCTGCATGTCATATGGCTTAAAATCAACTTCAAGACTATAGGATCTCTATCCCTTCTATACCCTTATTATGTGATAACACTAGTGCCATTTGTATGTAAAAAAATCATGTTCAACATTCCAGGACAAAGCATATAGAAGTTAAGTTTTACTTCATTAGAGAGGTAGTTGAAAAGAATATAATTCAATTAAATCATATCTCAACTAAGTTCCAATTAGTGGATTTGTTTACCAAACCATTAAATGCTGATCGATTCACCTTCCTTTGTTATGAACTCGGGCTTCGATCTCCAGAGAATCTGGAGAATCTACCCTGATTGACCAATCTTCTTTCTTTACTTTTTCCCCTTTATTGTTTCTTCATTTTCAGTGTTTTTTCCTTATCTTCGTGAGTTGTTTTAGCATTTATAGGTCTGTGCTTTTGGTCTGTTCATTCATCCTTAGATCAAGTCTTGTAGCTTTCTGCCTAGGTTTCCAATGGTGCTCGACTTTTCCATCACCTATTCAGGTACTTTTTTTCATGACCCTATCCATGCTAATGATCATAGGCATGCTGTATCTTATGCTCGCCATCCCATCATTCCCACTTATCAAATTCCTCATGATGGATTGGTTGAGTATGGTCTTGACTTTACTCAACTTATTCACAATCTGGGTTGGGACTTCCTTATCAATGAAACGCCTGAGCATATCTATCCTGATGGTGTGCGTCAGTTTTATTCAAATTTTCGATCTTTTGGCCTTGAAACTCGTACCTTCACTACCCTGGTTTATGGCCATCTTGTTACTATTCCCATTGAAGATCTCAGGCGTCTCCTCGCATTCCTCAAGTTGGTGAGATTTTAGCTCATGATTCTAAGCTTGTGTTGTTTAACTTCAATATTGAGCATGAGTTTGTGCTTCTCATTGGTCACCCTCTAGATGCTCTGCTCACTCTTTCCACCGCATTCCTGCTCCCTGCCATTCGCACCTTTCATTTTTTCCTCACTCCTCGATTCCTTCCTAGGACTGTCGATAGACCAATACTTACACATGTTTGCACCCTTAGTTCTTATCCGTTTGCGGCTAGTAGTAGTGTATTTTTGGCCCATTTTACGCTGGGTTGTGCTACTTTGTCATATTTCAGGTCCCAGACGTCGAAGGAAAGGCTAAGCACGAGATTTGGGGCGTTTGGAAGTCATTCGGTCGAGCTGGGGGCAAAACACGGGCAAGAGGCCTGAAGAACACGGCCGTGTACACAAACAGGCACGCCAGTGTTTTTATGTGCGAGAGCTGAATTGATGGAAAAGCAAAACACGGGCTGGCCTAAAGAAAAACACGTCCGTGTCCATATTTAGGAACTACCGTGTTTTGGCCGACGCGGGCGTGTTTTTAACACGTGGCAAGGGCACGGACGGGCAAAAGCAAAATACGGCCGTGTCCTCGACCGTGTTTTGCCCAGAATTGGGTTTTTGAGGCAGATTGAAGCCAAAGGAAAGGGAGAGCTGGGTTTTGGATCCCAAACACCCAATGGACGAACCAAAGAGAGAGGGAGATTTGAGGGCATTCTTGGAGTGGAACTGGAGGATTTCTTCGCCTAGGAATCTCGAGGAACAAGCCCGGACTTGAAGACTGATCATCTGAAGATTCTTACTGCAGTCTCTTTCTTCTCTATGGAGAAACTTCCCTTCACTTAGGTTTTGAGGAACCCTAGCTATGTTTGTTTGATTGGATGATTGTATGAGTACTCCTACTTGATAATCTTGAGTTCATATTCAATCTATGCTCGTTTTCATGATTCAATTCTGCTTTAGTCGAGATTATTGATTCTGCTTTGTAACTATGAGAGAGAATACCTGATTAGGTCAATAGAGCACCATAGATTGATAGTATTGGATCGATTGCTTTAGTCGAGGGTTGATTCACTACTTTGTATCAATTAAGAACCTCATTTGATAGAGGGAGTCTAGTTCAGAACGCCTTGATCGGTTGTTCTAGAGAAGCATACGTCCCTCTAGGTAATCGACTCAAGAGGGCCTTGATCCTTTAGTCGAGATTCAAGGTCTAGGCAAGGATTCTCCGCATTGTGAATGAAAGTGAAACAAGTTAGAAATCATCAATCATTAATCTGGCTAGTGGCTAGGGGGAATCGTACCTAAGTGAGTTCCCAACCTGTAAGATTAATTTTAACTGTAGTTTGTTAGAGTAGTTTTAGTTGTTCCATCTTAATCTGGTTTGCTAGATAATGAACTAAAGCTGAGTAATAGTAACTCTAGAGACCCGTGGATTCGATATTTATTACTTGAGCCACTATACTGCAGTCCCTTCCATTGGTTACACTTGGCCATTGTTAGGAGTTGTGTCATAGCGAGTCAACTGTCTTGTTAGATCGAGTCACTCCTCTGGACCTCTGGGTCATTCAGCATGCTGTACAACGTTCCCCTGGACTATTCTCATCTTCTTCTCCCCCATCTCTACATGTTCCAGTACTTTGAGTTCCAGGGCCATCTCCCCTTTGGTCCAATCATCACTCGTCTTATCTCTCGCCTTGGGATTTCCCTTGATCCCTTTTGTATCACCACTCCCACGGTGTATATCACCGCTGATGATGTCCTGGATGAGATTGCCATTGCCGTTGAGGGGGAGGATGCAAAGGACTCTGACTCGGATTCAGATTCTATGAACTCTGATGAGAGCAATGAAGAAGGAGACTTTGTCGAGGAGGAAGTGGAGGAGGAACCTGCTGAAGAAGAAGACTCTGAACCTGAGGAAGAAGAGCCAAATCAGAATATCGAAGTCCATTGGATCAACAGCAGTGACAATGATGATGATAGCTCTGATTCTGGCTCTACTCCTTTGGAGGACGTATTGGCTGCCCTTCGAGATGCTTATGGATTTGATTGATTTCATTGTCTGATTGTTCTTTAAAAACTTACTCTCTGACTTTTTGGTTTGCTGGACGTGTTATCCTAGATTTGGATTTAGTTTGCTGGATGTGTGATCATCGGTTTTGAATTCTTGCTGGATATTTAGAAGTTTTCAGTTGTTGAAAGTGTGCTTGGTTGAACTGGATAATCGTAGTGTTTGTCGGGAAAGGTGTCAGTTGTTTTACAGGGTTCAAGCGGACAATCGACAATCTCTAACGTAGGGGAGATTGTTGAGATGGCACGGATCAAGTTAGCAGATTGCAAAGATAATTGAAGCACATATTAGGAGGGGGGGGGGGTGGCATATCGATCAATCAGGGATTTCAATTACCATCTGCTCAACCTTCCATTTCTGCTCAAGATTCAAACTTAACGACTCTCTTGGAAGGCTATTTAAAGAAGCAGCAGAGGAAGGGTCAGTGCACTGAAACACGAGCTGGGATTTTTGTGGTAGAGGGCAAAGGGTTGGGTCTTTAGTTCAGTGGCTTTGATCTGTGCTGGGGTAGAGGTTCAGCTAGATCAAAGGGTGTAACGAATTCCTGTGCGAATTCGGGTCTGTCGGTTTTGCCTTTTGATTTTCTCACTTGTGTCTGTAATCCTTTTCTCTTCTTTGTTTGAGTCTAAAAGAAAATCAAAAGTGTCTCTCGGGATAGTGGTACTATCCTGGGACGAGGAGTAACCCTGTGGTGAACCTCGTTAAAAATCTCGTTGTGTTCTTTATCTTCTGCTTTCCTTTCTTCTTGTTGCTGCAAGGTGCCTCTATTCTGTTTCATTCTTGTTCTTTTTCTGATTCAGCGAAGAAGAAGATGTGTTTCCTTCTTCCTTCTCCGAACTGAAAACGTGCCTGTTGGGACTAAGCCCATATTTGATTCTTTCGGATATGTGGGCTTATTTAATCTCGGCCCAACTGAATCCTTCTCTTACTACATAGCAAAGATCATTTCTGTCTGAGTCGTTTTGGTTGTTCTTCTGCTGACTTTTATGGTCAAAATCCCTAACTGAGTTGAGAGCATTTCCTGTTTACAATGTCTACATGCACAACACAACAATAAGAGATTCCCTTGTAATGATACTTATGAACAATTAAGACATTCACTGTGATACTTGTGCCCTTAATGAATGTTGATTGGTTACGACTTATAAAAGACAGAAGCACTTGTTGCAATCTAATTGCTAACACTTTAGTCCTAGCCTTATAGAGAGGACTTTTTTGCAAGCAATAAGTCTGAAATTAGTTACCCTAACAACATTTGCTACTCTTTGGGCACTAACATAAGAGGCTATTGAATTTATACTGGGGGAGGGGGTGGGGGATGACCACTTTCAAAGAATTTCCTAAACACCTGCAATAACATCTTCACCCACCACACTCTATAATTTTTTTTAAAACCTGTTTTCTCGAAGAATGGCCATGCATTCGATCATAGATAAATAACAGCCTACTAGCTAACAACGAAGAGAAATAGCTCAGTATCGTTTGTGCCCTACAACTAGTGATCTCCAGAATCTGTAGTCCCTAACAACAAAGTGCAGAAAGATACAACATCATTCGAGATTTGCTTAATGACAGTGACTAAGCGACCCGAGTCTAGTTCAAGCTTCAAAATAGTCTTTGCTGCTTATCTCACTTGCACAATTTGGTGTAAGAAGTGGTATTATAGTCTCCTTAGGACACCCAACTCATCCTCTTATGATGGTAAAAACTCTCTTCAGCATTTTTAACAAGAGCATACTCACTTAGCAATTTTCTCTCTGTCTCAAAAGTTTGCTTTTGTGAGAATATTTAAAGACCAAACTTGGGTTGTTTTCAATTCCTGGTCCACTTTCTTCACCTTTTCACTAATATCCATAAAAGCTCTACAATGATGATCTTCCTCAACTCAGCCTTCAACATTTTTATTATGATTCCCCGTAGACGAGAACCCTTATAATCCATACTCCTAGCTTTCTGGACAATGATGTGATACTCGAGATGTTCAAGCCACATATTGAAAAATCGACAAGGTTTGGGAAGAGAGATAATAGGAACAACAGGGGACACAAACATTCCGCAACGTTTGAGAAGTCAGGTCGAAGAAACTCCACCATACAATGTGAAAAAGAAGAGAGTCATTCCATAGTAGCCAATACTCGATCTAGTTTCCAAGCAATTTGATTCGCCGTAGTGTTGTTTGTCCATGTGAACCACATACATGTTGATCGATGGTCCATATAAAGCGAACCCAATTTATAAAGAAATCCAAACTCGAAGAGATATCACAATTGTTAGAACTTAGAAGCTTCCCATGTTCAGGTACCGCGTTAAAATCTCTAGTTATTAGCCAATGGAAACCTCATCGTTCAAATCATATACTATTGTAAGAAACAATTCTAATCATGCTACACCCCTAATCAATGTGTGCATATACTTCTTCTCTTGTATCTAAGGCACTAAGCTCCATATCATCGCTACACAATATCTAAATTTTCCCAAGGACTGCTTTATCATAATTTGTTAGAACCTTATAACCTACAAACTAAGCAATATGGTACGGACTTTTACTTTCAACAACTCTTGTTACAACTAGAGGCAAAACCGAAACCTTAACCTACGTATGTAATCAATCAAATAAAATCCATCATCAAATCCAACAAGTAAATAACATTTTTTTTTTCAAATTCACAATGACCTAAATCTAATACAATTATTACTATTCGTCTTCCACATATTTTTTTTTTGACAAAGCCCTCGCTATCCTAATAAAAAATTTGAAAAAAACCATTCACTTTCGAAACTTAAGAATTTAACCAAAATTTTCATTTTTCAAATCTAAAACAAATTTACGAGGTAAAAGACACAACGTTGTTTGGATGAATAATTCTAATAGATCAATTTGACCCAGCTGTCTCGCTTTAAGAAAATTGAGCCAACCTAGTATCATAAAATTTGGATAGAGAAATTTGATCTTGATAATTACAATTTGTCTCGTTTTGAGACAATTACAATTATCAGAATGGAATAGGTAATTAGCGAATTCATTCAAAGAAATGACCTCACATTGCATACCATCCTGGGTAAAAAAATTGTGGAGGAGATTTTATCAAATTCATGAGGCTAAAGAATTAGGCCCTCCTATTTGATTGGGAATGTGGGCCGATCTATGAAAAGAAAAGAAATGTGTGGGCCGTTGGCCTTTTCTGTCCACAAGACGAGGATTTTTCCACCGAACCTCTATTGGGACAATGGGATTCATGAATCATGATCCACCTTTGCTTGAAGCGTTGGCCTTTTCTGCTAACTAAACTCCAATTAATTCAAAATTCATTTCAGTCCAATCCAATCCAATCATCCACTTAATCAAATCCAGTTGAATTAGTGGATTCATAAATTGTTGGAAAATTACAATAAACGCTTATAAATTTTATATTTCACAATTCAACATCTAAATTTTATTTTTAATAAAAAAAATTATTCAAAAACTATATTTTTTGATAAAATTCAAAATCATATTTTGATAACTAACCTTTTCAAAATGCTCATAATGTTCCAATTTGTATATGTCACCTAGATCTAATTTATGAATTCATTAATACACGAACTCAATCCATTTGCCACCTCTATTGTGCTTGGATGGATCGACCCATACTCTACTCACAATATTATTGTTTATGTATTTCTCTGGCAATTATGTTACCTACAGCTATTTCTGTAAATCCGTAATGAACTGATATTTTGCAACAAAAATGGTTGTCCCTAAAGCTTGTCATGTTTACAATTTTATCATAAGAACCATAATTTGTAACAAAATACATTTGCCACAATCAAGTTATTGTTTGCCAATTCTATCATTTCAAATCATAATTAAAACTGATCACAACAAACTCTTTGGTCGTGTAAGAACAGAAGAACCAAAACCTGACAAGCCTCTCATCATTTTATTGCAGTATTCGAATTGCCGCAAAACTACAACAGAGAAAAAATTGCAGAGGCATGGTACAAAACAGCAACGTTGTTCCATGAAGGTTTTCCTCGAAATATACACTGAAAAATCGCAGCATTCAAAAGCCAGAAAAACATATATGATAATATGAACATCCCAAACTTGTACACACACCAAGCATTGCATACATTCCCCACTCACTCATCATCTATGTAATACAAAAGAAAACGTAAATGTGTGCAAGTAACACACCTCATCTCGTGCAACTGCAAACTCGACGTACAAGTGAACTACCACTAGAACATAATCTCGCAAGGTGCGTGAAATGTCCTTCCCCGGCAGATCGCTTCTAGATTTTCTCCCGCATAAGAACAAAGAGGCGATACCTCCACACCTGTTTCATTTCAGCCAACGCACAATTAACATTAAGCAAGAGTTCAGCACAGAACAGAACAGAGCGCGGAAGTTCAGAAGGCGCAAAGTTCGTAAGCTCCCTTCTCCCTCTCTCCCAAACTTCAGTTTTCACTAGTTTGGTGCATATATTGCCTAAGAAATTCATACAAGAACGCAGAACGAATTAATTACCTGTTGCATATAAGGGTACTGAATGCGTTAAGAAGCCCCCTGCCGCGACAACCCAACGAGTGTGAAGTCGAAGCACGAGAAGCTTGGCACTGTCTGGAGTATCAAAATTTGAGCCGTTGGCATTTTTCACTGGCGCGAACTCTTCTTCACGCAATACCTGTAGAAATTTAATACGTTCACACATATAAGTAGAGGGACATCACACCGCAGCAAACTCAGGTGAAGTAAAGTGGTGGTAGTGTTGTTGGCACCTCGAATAGGCCAGTTGAAGGAGCATATGGAAATGCATCAAATATGAACTGCTCAAGTTTATATCCCATTGTGAATCCATGAATTGAAGGGATCTTTTTCTCTGCAAGATGGTAACTGCACTCACAATGTGTAAGCTTACAGTATACTATGATCGCTGACTGGAACCATACGCAACCATAATTTGGCCATAGGACACAATCTTCTATGGGAAAACAGTCCTATCCAATTGGACAAACATTCGGCAAAGAAGGAAGCTAACATCACTTACGTGCTATCTTTTTCGAGCCCATTTGCCACTTGATTTAGAAAATCCAAAGTGAACATGTGCAGACATACCTGAAACCGGGAAAATGGTAAAATTTTCAGGGGCTATTCCAGAAGATACAAAATCCTGCTAAGAGTGTCAACTACTATAGCATATCATCGACTGACAAATAGAATATACTGAAAGCATAGAGACTCATTCATCAAATCAATCTTTCCGATAATATATATTTTAATTGTATAAAGAAAGGTGAAAATAGACTTATACATTACTCCAACAAAAACGAAGGCGTCCAGTTTGCTGATTGACTGCTGAAGCTAATGACTGATCCAACTCGCTGTACTCAACCACAGTCAGAGGTCCACCTTTCCCTCGCCTCACAAATACACCCACCTTTTCTTGGGGATAAGCCTGTGGAAAATGGTTGTAGCTATTAAGAGGATCACATTTGCAGAACTTCGATCCATGCTAGATAACCCACATGCTTATGAAAACAACAAACTATACCTTGCGAACGACTTTTGCGGCAGCAGAGACTCCTTTATCCACGAAATATCCCACAAAAGTTGGGTCAGCTACACGGACCTGTTTACAAGAACTAGCCATCATGCTCAAAAAGAGTTCTGAAGGTTCAGTAATTAAAGGTGAATGATAGGGCAAAAAGATCATATCTCACCAATGCATTGTCAACCCCATAGCAGTCAACATATTTAATCCCTCTTGCTGCCATGTCTTCCAACAATCTCGATGATTTAAGAGCTGAAGAACCAAATAAGGAAGCAAGCAATAATGCAAAGCAGTAGAGGTGCCAAGTTATGGAGAGATCTGTGACGGGCTGCAAAATAAATACCTGAATATACTCCTCCATTGCCATCTGGGGCCTTGGATACCTAATTTCAGGAAATAAAATGCACATGATTCCAAGTATGAGGATGAACATAGAACTCAACAACGTAAAAGCCAAGAGCCAGAAAGGATAGACAAAAAGCTAACTGCATGGTAAATATACTACAAATAACAACTCAAAAGAAGAGCTTCTTCTTGGCGTGAATGTGAACAACCACTATAAATGGTGCTAGTATTGACAGTGAGTTTCATTTCTTTACATTGCACCCCTCTGTAAATTCATTAATGCAAAAATGTGTTCATCCTCACCAAAATGCTCTTCAAATAGTAAAAAAGACAATGTCTAGTTCAAGCCAACTAACTAAGTATCACAAGCACTTGATGCTCCTAGTACCATTTCCACCCATAGCTGTATGTCTTGCGTTCTTTTAAATCCTAATATAAAGCAACATTCAGGTGTAAAGGAACGTTTGTTTGGATCAGTGAAGATTAAGCGAAACCCGTTACCCATTCTTCAATGACACGACTGAGTGTGGTTGTGCAAGTTAGCAAACACCAAAGGGGGTTGGCAGAACATACCTTGAAAGGAGTCTCCATGATAAATCTACCATCAGTTGAAACAGAAGGTATGGTGCCTTGCTGGAAGAAGGTGACCTGGATTGGGGAGATGTGAATGTGAAAGCAGGTAACTTAAACATAATATAGCTAAGCTTCGTCAAACAAACTAGCAAAGAAATTTTCTTACTTGATCTGCTTCAAGGCCAAAGTACTTGTGGCTTTCAAAAAATCTCCGAGTGAGCTCATCTGTGAATGGACTCGTCATTATGTACCAATGAATTTGTGCAGAACCTCCTGAACCTGTTTAAGAGTAGAACTAAGATATTGTCCAAATGATTTAGAAGAATAGAGAATCTAAATAATTTAAACTGACCTTCATTAGCAGCTTGAACAGCTAACTTTTGGACGCACAAAATTCTCTCAGCTTGAAGTTGAAAAAGAGACTTCCCAGATGGAAGTCCAATGTCTGAATCAGAACAAGTAGACCAAAATATTAAAGAACGCCTTCTATTAACATCAAAACGAAACAAAACACGTAGCTTTATTTTTCCTCCAGCCATTTCTCTCAGATAAATGACAACGCCTAAAAGATCCAAGAATCTGTCACTGAGGTTTCTTGGTCCAAAGTTCAAATAAAAATGGAGCTACAATTCCCCCCCCCCCCCCCCCCCCCCCCCCCACCCCCCACAACTCAGTATTTAAATGGGATCCTCCTATGTTCAACGACAGCTACAAAAGCATATTTTTTGCTGCACATTTTGCAGTTCCAGAGATGTATGATACATCTCAAGTCATTCAAATAGAAAAGTCTATGTAACTCTGTTTGAATTAGTTTCTTAGCGGTTCCACTTTTGGGATCACAGGGGAATCTCCTCAAGCATCCTCAGGTCAATATTACAACTTCCATTAAAATACAACAGTTAGAAACACTGCACACTTGAAAATTACTTACTGAAGCATCCTTTAGGATCAGAACTTCCAAGCCGTGTTCCCTGGAATTTCAATTGAATGGACGCATAAAAGGATTAGTTGCATGTTGACATAGGAGAATACAATATCACCAGTTATTTCCTCACATAAAATTTTTAGTTTTCCTCAACCAAATTGATATGCAAGTTAACCCAGTTCAAAACAGTTGCAAGATACTAATTATAGCAGGAGAAAGAAATAAACTGTCTTCAATCACAAAAGTATATTTACATACAATATAAATACAGATAAACCCAACAAAAAGCACCGTCCAAAAAGCAATCTTTCTGGCGTCTAACAGCTAATAATGGAAGGTGGAACTAATTCCGCTGCTTTTGGATTATTAGTTAAACTTATCCCATCGGCAGATTATCGAAAGTTCCAATCCAGAAAAGAAATATCAACAGAAGAGAAAAGGGCCCCTGACTAAACAACTCAACAACAACTTTAATAAAGCGAAGAGAATGATTAATGATGCAGCAAAGCCATTTTACTGTTGGGAGAAATGGATAGATACCAATCACAGAATTGTCTTGGAGTGGCCATCAAGCCTAAAGGTTACATCATAACAAAATTATGCAAGCAAGCGCAAAAGATTCCCTGGGACAACTACCAAACGCCATTGTTCAACCTCCCTTCATAATAAGTTATGATGGGCTTTAATCAAGTTTGTCAACCGAAAAGTTAAGCAGCATTTAATTCTAAAGACCCAGCAGTAGCAGCCACTCCAGTGTATAAATCGACATGCTAATTACCCAGAAAGAAAGTAGAAAAAGAAAAGTACCTGACCGCCAGATAAAAGCAGAACGGCCAACTTCCCGCCAGAGATTGCTTTTAACCCCATCTTCCACCACCGCTCTCTGTCTTCCATCGTCCTCTCCTCTACCGTGGACACGCTGCTCTCAGGCACGGGTTCAATGGCGGCAACTGGTAGAGCTGCATCCAGTTCATCGATAAGTCAAAAAACCTGAACAAATCTAATCCTGACTCAATTCCACAAGAATTCCAACCAAATTCAGAAGTGGAAAAGACAGAGAGAGCAAACCCTGAGATCGAAGCGAACATCGGATTATCCGATCCAGCCGCGGAAGATCTAGATTCTGCAATGAAGAAGCAGGTCTCAAACAAAGGAAAAACAACCCACCACCATATCCTACCCGAATTCAAGCCTCCATTTAAGCGCTTTAAATGCAAACCCGAAAAAGGGAAATTGACAAACGACAGATATTTGAATGCGGGTGGTCTACACAAACGAGATTCAGAACTTCCCGAACAAAAATTCACGTTACTATCCGAAATCGAACCAACGCGCGAAGATCCGAGAGCCACCCAGGAAGAAATGCGTTCAATTACTCGAGGAGTTTTTTGTTTGGTTACCGACCTCGATGTCTTTGACAAGGAAGTCGCGTTCGTCGGCGGAGAGCTCCTCCCAGAGCGAAAAGACGTCTTCCTGGCCGTAGTCCTTGAGGCGCTCGAGCAACGCCTGTGGCGGAGGCGGTACTGGCGAGGAGGAGGCGGTGCTGTTGCCGTCGATCATTGTCGGTTCCCTCATTTCTTCCCCGGAGACAAGAGTGAGAATCCGGAATTCAAGTTCCTGTTAGATCTCTGTAGGCTGCCGTGTGGGTATGGATTTTGTCGAGTTGCTCTCTATCTTTCTCTTTCTCGCTTCACGAGTTTCTGTTAACAGTTAAAGAGAGGGAAGAAGGAAGCTGCCAAAGGCAAAAAGAGGGAGTGGGGGAGACTGCACAGAGTTGGGCGAAATAGAATAGTAGCGAGGAAGACAAGAATCAATTGATGAGTAGAGTAGAGTAGACTCACTGTTGTCGAGTGTTAATTAGTAGCTGTCAGAAACCAAACCGGATCCGGTTCGATCTTCTCATTTACCCGCTTGTGTTACTGTTTAGCCAGACGGGTCAGAGGCTAACCGATTCAACCGTTTGGCGGGTTCGTTCCTTCTTGCAGCTCGGCGTTCTGGATTGAGATCTCTCCAAATATTCCCTTCCCAATCCGATTATTGATTAATCATCATCGTTAACCGGCTCCAATCACAAAAAAAAAAAAACCACTTTCAACGGCCCGAATCCGGTTGGACCGGCGAAATTTCGCCGCTTAAAAGAGCAATTGCAACTTGGAAGCAAGCTCTCTTCCTTCCGTTGCTGAAACAGTAGCGCTACGGCATATCCTCCTTTACCTTGGCGAGAAACGAAGGCGGCAACGGCAGGCACTGCAAGCCAGTGGCGGAGAGAAGGAAACGCAATGACTATTCCGACGATGGCGACGATTCCTACCTCATATTTCTTATTGCCCTCTCTAGTGCAATCGGATTCTAGTCGGAACTATTGCAAGTTCCGGCGCTCCCCTTATATGTTCAGTAGCTTCCACGTCAGAGCTTCGCTTTCCACTCCAGGTTTTCCTCTGGCAAGCCGAATTGTAGTCAAAAGTAAGCCGCTTTTCTCCCTTAGTCTCTTTGCGGATACAAATATTGGGTTTAGTCTGGAATAGAACCCGGGAAGCAGATAGCATTAGCTCCAGGGGAAATTGAGTATGGCTCTGCACTGAGTTTGAACAATTTGGGCTTTGCAGATTTACCTTATCTAACCAGCGAAAGTAGTTTGCGAGAGGAGTTCTCAAGCTTTGGTGAAGTGGCTGAAGGTAACCCAGATTCTGGACCCTTTCTTTTATTCCTGGGTTCTTGGGTATTTAGGTTAAGGTTCATTCCAGTTCTGTCCTGGTTTGACAGTTAAGGTTCTGAAGTTTGAAGAAGGGGAAAGGCGTAAAGCTCATGCATTCATCCAATACACTTGTCTAGACGATGCCTTCCTTGCCTTGGAGAACATGGATCGCAAGGTTGGCTGGCTCCTGAAATTGCAATCTGTCCCGGAGCTTCTTACTTAACTGTACCTTGAAATCTGATCTTCATTTTTGTGCCCACCAGATGTTTGACGGAAGGATGATATATGTGGAGGTTGCCAAACCCGGTAAGCGTAGTTTTGGAGAATACCCAACAGCTTCTGGACCTCCAAAAGGCTCTCCTGCTGCATCTTCAAATGATCAAGATGATTGCTGGTACTGATTCCCCCACGGCCAACGATTGTGCCGCCAGTAAGGAATGTAACTTGGGAGGAAAAAGCGAGCTGCTAGTAAGTGTGAAATTGTTGTGCATCTAGCCGCATTAAAGAACTGTGTCGGCTAATGCCATCAGTTTAGAATTGTGAATTTTTCTTCTCGTTGCTCCTTTTTTGTGGTATGTTAATTTACAACCAGTTCTCCATGAATTGGCTGGTGGATATGTCCCTGGTCTTTCCTTTACTAAGTGTATGCCTGAAGGTGTTAAGCCTTCCAACTTTGCAATGCTAATATACAACCAGTTCTCGATGAATAGAGAAATGTTAAGAGTTCCTTGTTTGTGTATGACAGTAGTCACTAGCTGTTCAGGTTTCAACTTTCATAGGTACTTCCTGTTCTGTTCTTGGCTTTTGCTCAAGTATATGCATAGAGTGAGAGATTACTGAGGTTGCTTGGAGGGTCCGCTGGCATATTGCGCCATCTGTGTAAATAATCGACTTTATTATAGTAATGAATTGATACACGCAAGCTATAACTCGAACTCTCAAGTAAGAAAACTAAGAGCTTCATGGACATTGTGTTGCATCCAACTCGGCTGCAACGGTTTGTATTATAACTCCTACCTGTTGCTGGACCTTAATTGACCCGGAGGTAGGAGAATTCCTTGGCACTGGGAAGCCATGATGATGCTTCTTTCCAGTAACAGGGTTTCATCAGTCCCTTTTTTCCTTCTGCAGTAAATCCAGCGCCAAACCGCTGAGCTTTATCCCTCAAGGAGCATGGGACCCTCTACTACTATCTGTTGCTTTTATATATTGTCTTTCATCATTGTCTTCTGGATTCTTGAATGCAGCAATGTGAGGGATGTGATGTGATGTGAAGTACTTATTTATTTGCAAATTTCGGAACCCCTACCTGACGGAGACTCTGGAGATGGAGGCAGTGGCGTTTGATGTGGGGGAGGCGAGCCCTTCGAGCCAGAAATTTCTGGGAGGAAGTTGGAATTGGATTCAATCTGTGCAGGCATTGCTAGCAGCTGATGGAGCTGTACTGATCCCTCGCTTCTTAGTAACACAACTACTTTTGACATCGTTGGCATCATTGAAGGCGAAGGTTGAGTGCACATCAGAGCTATTTCGGTATTTCCACCACTTCCTTGCTTCTGTGTATTCATCCTGACTTACGGTTTTGTACAGTTCCCGTGACTTAGTATCCTTTTGTGCATGACAATCCAAAAAAACGCAGTTAGTTTAGATGGTACTAGAGAGCACCAAACCACCTTGTGAGGGAGCTCCACATCACCAGCAAACTTTGTTGAGATGTGACAGTTGTACTTGGCGTTGACTGCGAAATGAGTTTGTTAGGTCCTGCAGAAATCCAACCTGTAGGAAGAAGAGATAAAGAATTCATCAAGTCGATCCTCTCACTCTCTGCCCACCCTCTGAAGTTTAGATTGAAAGGAACATCCCAGCTAGCTCTTCCAGAATCAAAAGAAACCAAGTCAGAGATTCAAGAATCTGGGTATGAGGCAATAACGACTCTTGGATAGGCATCTTCAAGTACCACTGCCTGCTGCCAGCAGTCCTTGCAAAAGGAAATTCACGCCTCTCCACCTGCATTAACGAATGCATACTTCCAGAACGTCTCTCTTCATTGCACAGTTCAACATGGAGCAGCAGTATTACTTACCTCCACAACCAGCTCTCTGAAAAGGAGGGGTTCGGGAACTTTATGTCGATGAGATTCCACGACCAGGAGCTACCATCTATCGCATATTTCCACATCCACTTTGCAAGTAGTGTGTTGTTCATGCACTCTATATCCTAAGCGCCAAGCAGGTAGGTTATGAGTTTGGGGCAAACCATGGTGGTACGTGGAATGGAACTAGATTACTCTTTCTGCAGATATTGCTTGCAGTTGACCATGGTGGAAAGTGTAGAAACCTACTGTATTCAGGGATCGAGCAGTTAGGGGCGAAATCAACAGATGGATTCGTTAATAAAAGTAAACTTTGTAAGCTTCATTCTTTTTTCTCCGTAATCAATTGGACAGAAAACAGAGAGAACCCTGAAATTCTGACATTACTGTTTCTTCTTTGCTGTCGGTCAAAGCATACTAAGAACAGACATGACTGCAGAAATGAAACTTATATCTTGCTACATATCGTAAATAACTGATATTTCATCAAAGTACAAATTTCTTGTTCGTCTAAGAAATGAAGACCCAATGCTTAATGAAGAACACAGTGTGTAAAAATTGGGACGAGATCACAGAATGAGGTGATCCCAGAATTGCCTGCCTGCCTGCCTGACCAGCCTGCTTCGATCTGTTTGGTTTTCGACTTGAAATTGAATCACCTTATAGGAGCCTTGATCCAACCATTAGCAAAAGCAATAGCCAGAATCACAAAAGGAGTGGACATCCCAAATATGATAATGTAAGGAAGTGGTGTCATCATGGGATTCTCTCCTTCCCTTTCTCCTGCTGTTTGCCAGTACCTTAGACAAAACCCCAAACAAGAACAGTTAGTTCAATTGTAAGAAATACGGGTTTGATAGTAACTTCCCTTATAATCCCATAAAGTTTCAGCCTTTGTCTAGTTTTGCTTACTGTTCTGGCTCTTGTTCTTTGGTTATGAACTTCTTCTTGTCTTTTGGCTGCAGTTCTCCATTTCCTCCTCCTTCTGTTCAAATTCAAAAGAAACCCACATGCAAGTAACCAGAGATAAACAAAGTGCGGGAGGGAAAATAGGGGACATTGGTGAACATTGAGAGTAGTCTTGACCTGAGGTTGCAGGTGCTCTGAAGTGGTGAGACATTCTTCTTCTCTGTGGTGAAGAACACAATAATGGTGGTGATTGAGGCAGGAATGTAGTAAGTGGTTGAGATTTGGGAGATGAAGAAACACAAGGAAATAGAATCAGGCTGGTAGCTGCCATTTTTGCCAGTTGGTGGAAGCTTTTTTCTTCTTCTGTTATGGCGTATTTTGCAGAGGTTTTATATGTATGGAGGGGTGGAGTTGGGATATATGGCTGGTGAAGCTAGTGCCAGGTTGCAGATCATGGTGAATATAAACCTTATCTGTTACCTGAAAAACAAAAAAACAAAAACGATTCTGGGTGACCAAATTGGTCAGAGTCCGCAAAATTCCGACCCGAGCAAGGAATCGGTTCCTTTCCACCCGTGATTCCTGCCCGCGACGAGAATCAATTGATGAGTAGACGGTGAGAGTCGAGTTTTAATTAGTAGCCGTCAGAAACCAGACCGGATTCGGTTCGATCGGCTTATTTACCTGCTTTTGTTAAGCCAGACTGGTCACTAGTAGGTCGGGAGGCTACCCGGTTGAACCGTTCGGCGGGTTCACACTGCACAATTGGGGCTTTGCAGATTCTACCCGCTTTGACCAGCGAAAGAAATTTCCGAGAAGAGTTCTCAAACTTGGGTGAAGTGCTGCTGTTAGTGTTATGGTATATGATCCACTATTGAATCTCTCCCAACAACTTGAGTTATTAGGAGAAACTGGTTCTTGACATGGTATCAGTATCAGAGCCTTCTGTGATCGAGAGGTCTTGTGTTCGATGGGGAGCAACCGGTTCTTGACAGCTGCAGCCTGATCCTACCTTTCATTCGTGGGATGATACAGTCTCATGGGTTTATTCCAATTCTATCATGGTTAGGCAGTTATGCTCTTCAAGTTTGAAGATAGGGAAATGCATAAAGCTGATGTATTCATCCAATACACTTGTTTAGACGTCAGGAGATGCCTTTCTTGCCTCGGAGAACATGGATGGCAAGGTTGGCTCCCTCTCTCATGCATTTATGCAACAAACTTTTCTATCCTTTGATGTATGATTTTCACTTTTGTGCCCACCAGGTGTTCGACAGAAGGTTGATATAGGTGGAGGTTGCGAAACCCGGGAAGCTCTGTCGCTGCATCTTCAAATACCAAGATGATTACTGGCACTCATTCCGCCATGGTCAGTGATGGTATTTACCCAGTAAGGAATGCAACTTGAGAGGCCCAGAAAAGCGAGCTGCCAGTTAGCCTGAAACTGTTGTGCATCCAACCGCATTAAAGAATTGTGCCTGCTAATGCCATCTGTTTAGAATCACGAAGCATTCTTCTGGTTCATCCTTTGTGTGGCTACGTTACCTCATCCTTTGTGTGGCTACGTTACCTTACAACCAGTTCGTGATGAATTGCCTTCTGGGTAGGGATGGGCACGTGGGTGGTTAACCCGCGGATTGATGTGGGTGGATTGCAGATTGTTAAATCTCCCACCCAAACTTATGTGGGTGGATAGTGGGTGGATTGCCGGTCACCCGTATGACCCGCATTCTATTTTTTACATGAAAAAATGTTGTTTCTTATAGTATCGAATATTCATCATATTTTCAAAATGCACTACAGTCTGACCATATACTGCAAAAGGTGGAGAATAAATAATTGTTTTGACTACTATTATTGGTTATTGTGTTGTGCAATATCCATTTGCAATGCATATTGGTATGCAAATTATTGTTAATATCCATTAAATATTGAGATACAAACTATAAATTATTAATTGTATCAAAATCACAAATTATTGATACAATCTTACTAATGTGCTATGAACTTTTTATAAATGTTAGTCAATTTTCTTAATGGCTAGTTGGAGAATTGATTTTGTGGGTTAACCCGCGACCCAATCGCACCCATCCACCACCCACCCAACCCAACCCACATAAGTATGTGGGTGGATTGCAGGTCACATATATTCCAACCCGCTAGTAAGCGGGTGGGCCAATTTTAGACCAAAATCCACCCAACCCGCCCATTGCCCACCCCTACTTCTGGGTACGTCCCGAGTCTTTCCTTTACTGAGTATATACACGAAGGTGACTTTGTAATGATCATAGAATGGAACGAATTGAGAAAGGATGAGTTTCTTGTTTGAGTATGACAGTAGTCATTATAGGCTGAGTTTCTTGTTTGGCTTCTGGCTCCGGTTGATTGATAAATTTTTAGCTATTCAGGTTTCAAAGGTCTTTCATTTTCTTTTGAAGTATATGCAGAGATTCACAGAGGAGGCTTGGAGGTTTTGCTGGCATTTGACTCCTGCTGTATAAATAATCGCCTTTATTACAGTAATGAAATGATATACACATGCTGCATATTCTTTTAGTATATAAAGCTAGCTACACTTTTTACTCCCTCTTTTTTGTTACTGTTTCATTTTCTGTCTTCTAGCGGCAATTGGTGAAATGGTTTTATGGGGAGCTTCCCCAATCCCTTCCTCGAACAGTCAGCCTCTTACCTTACCTTCGCTCAGTCCAGCAGCCACCCATACCTCCTCGTAAGTCTTACCGTCAGTACACAGTACTTACAGAACTTCTAACTGCTCCCTCTGCTGCACTGCAGAACATCAACTACCCTTCACCTTCCCTCTTTTTCCACCAAACACCTCTCCCTCTTAAATCCTTCTACTCCCACACTCTATCCTCTCCTATGACATCACTGCTCATTTTCTTCCACTAAATCATGCCTCCATCCCTCTACCATTAGTCTTTTCTCCGTCTCCTTCTTTCCAATTATCTAACCTACCATCCTCTAACTCTCATCCATATCTCAAACCTTTCGGTTCTTCCTCTCTCTTGGACTCCAGTCGCTGGGCAAAATCAGAGGCAACGATGGTGATAATCCTCCATTGCCACCAGGGAGGACCAGCTGCGAGAATCATTGGTTTTTCCATGGGTGATCGACAAAATTTTGATTTTTTCAGCTATAGCAGAAAAGAGCCAAAAAAAAAAAAAAATCAACACCGCTGGAGTTTTCAATATTAGGTGGTTGTATAATGTCCTCTCCTTTCGTGTTCGGATCTCAGTTGATTTATCAAGATAGGAAAATCGTGGGTGAAGATTTCTGTGTTTTGATTCCTTTTTCTGGTTTCTGTTTCTTTGAAGCTCCTCTGCTGGGTTCGTTGAAAATCCTTAAAAGAAGAAGATGAGTTCAGAGCAGGATGACAAAACGAACTTCCCAACAGCGGAGCCGAAGCTATTTGACAGCGGCTGCTGTTTTTTGGCTCGACATCAACATCAACCTCTGCTCCAAGTGGTACATGGAAATATGGGTCTCCGAGGAACAGGCGGTGTCCGCCAAGGCCGCCATGGGAAACCCCTAGGCTGTAAATAAGAAAAATCCATGTTGGAAGATGAATCCATCGCCGCCGACATTAAATCTGCACCGCCGGCGGCGGGGCAGTTGGTTGCATTTGATAGGTAATTGGCAACAGCTGCGATGTCATGTCGTCGGATGCGGCAGTCGGATGCGGTGTCATTGCCCACGCCAATCCGGTCATCAAGGCTGACAAGGTCGAGAGGCTCTGCGAGATGATGAAATGGAATGATGGGTTCTCATAAATTCGGTACTTCTCGGCGAACCATTTTTTTATCTTTTCTTATAAACTCTTTTCAGTTTGCTTCTGTCTTCTTCAGACTCAGTAATCAGCACTCAGCAGTAGTGGGTAGTTTGGTCGGTGGGTTGTGTCTTGAAGTGGTTTGTTGGGGAAAGGTGGGTTTTGGTTGCACGATGAAATTGTGGGGATAAGGTTTGATTCCAGAATAAAAATGCATCAAATCTCTTAAAATGCATCTACTATAGAGAAAGAAACATGTTTGCCACTGTAACGCAAGTTCAAACCTTCTACTATAGTGGCAAACAAGTTTGTGCACAGCTGCCCCCTTACTTAGGTCGTGAAAGCTTTGGAAGTAATACAGAATCAAAGGCTCCATTTCTTCCCGAGCGAAAGAAGCTACAGGAGGGTCAAACAAGTTTGTCATGGTGGGATTCCCGCTGACAGCTGTGCTTGCTTTCAGGTCCGAGCTTTGTAAATGGGTTATGGTGAGGGATAGTGGCCGACTATGTGCTGCAGATGGCCTTCCTCTTATTGCAGCATAGAAACATACGAGTGCTATATTTCTAAATTCTAACGACTTTGTTTTGCTTTCAGTACTCTGTTGAGAAGCAAATTGGTAGGCCAAGAAGAGTTCTTAAAGCTTTTTAAGATGGGTAGGTGAGTAGAAGTTGTTGGCTCTTACATTACCTATATTGAGATATTATGCTTGCCATGGCTAAGTTTCACGTACTTCCGTTTCTCCTACATTCTTTTGTAGTATCAAATTGTCGGGACCTGTATTATAAGCATGCTTTTAGTGCTCTGCTAAATTCAAGAAACTTGATTCCCATACACATCATTACCAGTTTCAGTCCATTCCACATCTCTTTGGAACTCTTTAAGTAGGTGTTGTTTATTCTAATATTGTACTTACTTTGAGCAGCATCCTTCCATTTTCTTATTTGATTCCATGATCCTAATGGTAAGGCACTGTGAGTTTCTGTTACATACTCGAGAATTCAAAACTGATTCTAACTGGATTCTTATACTTGAAATCTTGCCTTTGGATTTGATTATAAATTATTGCAGTGCTCATATTACCAGTAAACTCAATTTTTTGAACATTACATATAGTTCTCAAGAACTTGCTCGGTCGCTTTGTTTTATCGGGAGACACTTTAATAATTAAATTGGCCACGTATTTCATTCTTTTCAGAGTATTTCATACCAAAGCAAAGAGTCTGTGCTTATAGTTAGACCATAAAACTTGAAATGGATCTTCGAATTAGATCATATATGAAGCAATTTCTTAAATTATTTGCAAGCAGTTAAGGTTTAGTGCTTGATCTCTTTGCCATCTGTTGACAGGTGTTTGACTCAAGGAGCCTGCAAATATCTGTCAAGTAATTTCTTCTCTTAGGCAGTGCTTCTCTTTTACTTTTGAAGTCACTAGGTTATATCTCTTTTGCTTCAGTGTTCCTCTTGCTTCTACATTCTTATAATTACTCAATACATGCATCACTAAGAACCTTGCTCATTCTGCTTAGTCGTTTTTATGAACACCGGCTCCAATTTTTAGGTTTTCTAGATTGGACCTACAAACTGGACAAGCAAGTAGAGGATCGAAAGGAATGGCCATATCATAAGGCGATGCAAGCTCCTACAAATCTCAGGACCATTGAATTGGTTTCGGTTTTGTGCTAATTCTGCTTAACTGCACAACACTGGTTGCTAACCTTCTACTTTCTAGAATCAGTAGCCAGGTTAGGATCCTTGACCTGCTTGCTGAATATTTTGGTTATGTATGTTATCCATTGAACAAGGCTTTCACATGATCTAGGACGGCAATATGTCTGATTTCATGCTTATTGATGTTGTGCAGCATCGAAAGTAGAATGGTTGTTCAATACCTTTTTATGTAAACTTCAAACAGCAACCTCTGATAATAATACTGCAATTACAGCTAGGTTTTCTCGCAATGTGCATGCCTTGATGTTCCTTTGTGGGTATATGTATCCCCAAAAGGGAATTTGTCGTGTATTATTGGTTCTACAGCTAATGTAACTCATTTGTTTGAATTGTATGAACCGTAGTCAGAAAGGAAGGATAGATCTTGCCTTGCCTGTAACTTGACATGGTGGTGAATGGAGTTGAAGTGAGGATCAAAGTGGGAAGGTGGGAACCCTTGGAGGTGGAAAGTGTGTCGGATTTAAAGTGTAACAAAAATGGAGGAGGATTTAGCGGGTTAAAGCGATAATATACATAGAAACAGGTGGAAGCTGCATTTTTTGGGAGAGTGCAAATGTTATTTGCTGTTTAGTTCGCTTTATTTCTCTCATTTGAGAATCTCTTTAACGTGCCCACTGTTTTTCATAAAAGGAAGAGAGTCATTCATCCTTTGATCCCAATGCCTTTAGAAAGGAGACACTACAAGAGGGAAGCACATTGTGCTTTTCTTTTATGAGTTCAACTCCATTGCAACTCGGGTATAGTTTCTTTTACCCCTTAACTTTGAATTTTTCTGTTGGATGTTAATTGTGCCACGTTATTGGTTCTGAATCTCATATGCAATTGTGTACCATTGCAGAGAGGAGGCATTGTTGGAGAAACAAATAGATCATGATCCTGTAGCTGCAACTGCCGCTGTTGGGCTTGCTCTTGCTGATGAATGAGTGCAACTGAGAGGGAGGAGTATATTAGCTTTGTGGATGTTGGACTAACGTCTAACGGAATCGGTACTGTTAAGAATTAAGACAATTTGTGGGTTAGTCTCACCGAAGTAACCTGAGATTTATGATATTTTAGTTAGTTTGACTCATCAGCTAAAAAATCGTGTTATTTTATCGACTTTGAAGAAAAGAGCACAGTAACTTTAGCTTTCTGCGTTAAATATTGAATTATATAGACGACTAACAAAAAAAATTTAAATCATGGTGACGATTGGGAGTGCAGCTTTTATTTGTTTACTTCCACTATTGTAAGTAACATATTTTTAAATAGAAAAGTACTTTAGTGACTTTCTCAGACATATTTTTAAGATTACTTTAGTTTTATTGGTATGGATTGATGATGGCATTTTTTTTCTAAAAACATTGTTCAAAATTTATCAAAAGACAATGTGAGTATGGATTGATTTGATGTATAAAGTAAGGAGTCTCATCTGTAAATAAGTATATCCTCAGGGAAGGTTTGATATAGAACTTACAAGCTAACTAAGAGTTTACACGAGCATTATAACAACTCTTTTTGACTTTTTGCACGACAATACTCTATATTATAACAACTCTTTTTGACTTTTTGCACGAAATACTCTATTGAACAAAAAAAAATTAAACTATTTTCATTATGAATCAACTTTTAAAGCTGCCAAATACGACTAAATGACCCTGCGGCGTAGCCGCGGGTATTGATTCTAGTTAATGTAACAATAGACACAAGCTAACTCGAACTCTCTGAAGAATAGAAAATTAAGAAGGGAAAGCTATCTTGATGGACTTTCTGTTCGGCTGCAACTGTTTGTACCATAGTTCCTTCCTTCCTGTTGCCGGACCTTAATTGACCTGGAAGTAGGAGAATTCCTTTGGTACTGGGAAGTCATATGATGAAGTCTTCTGGATTTTGAATGCAACAACGTGCGAGATGTGACTTGGTTGTGCTGTGCAGGTGTCAATTGGTGACATTCTATTCTGAACCCCTACCTGCCATAGACTCCGGAGATGGAGCAAGTGGCGTTTGATGTGAGGGAGCCCGTCGAGCCAGACATTTCCGGGAGAAAGTTGGCATTGGAGTCAATCAGTGCAGGCTTTGCTAGCGGCTGATAGAGCTGTACCGATCCTTCGCTTTTCAGTAACATAACTACCTCTGACATCGTTGGCCTCATCGAAGGTGATGGTTGAGTGCACATCAGAGCTATTTCCATCACCTTCTTTGCTTCTTCTTTCGGGTATTCATCCTGACTTATGGTTTCATCTACCAGTTGTGTATGCATTCCGCTTTCGTACAGCTTCCACACCTGTTTCAATATCCGGACGATTATTAATTAGTCAAAGTTAAAAACAGAAGATGGATGGTACGCAACGCGCTATGTTTGCTTTAAGGGTTAATCCAAAACCAATCACACCCCAGAATCGAACATCCCAGTTAGCTTGAAGGGGACTTAGTTACCTTCTTCAGCAGATACTCAGCTACTTCATCCTGCCTTAATTCACTGCTCTTTTGGCCACTGATTATTTCCAGAACTACCACTCCATAGCTGTAAGTGTCAGCCTTCTCTGATAACTGACCATACAATGTATACTCAGGCGACGTGTATCCCCTGCGAAAAAACGGATGAATCAAATTTGCAAGCAGGAGATTCTTCTATAATGAAAAAGAACAAGGTGCTCCAATTTACATTGTCCCGGCGAGCTTGGTGTCAAGATGAGTCCGACTCTCCGGTAGAAGTCTTGCCAGCCCGAAATCTGCAATCTTGGGCTGAAAATCATCATCCAGAAGAATATTGCCGGTCTTGACGTCTCTGTGTATGATGCACATATAGAAATCCTCATGTAAATACGCCAGGCCCCTTGCTGTACCCAGTACTATGTCCATCCTCTGCTTCCAGCTGAGACTGCCCTTTTTCTCCCCTGCCACAATGAAATCAAACCTGTTACATACTTCTCTACACAAAGAAAACGAGACCAACGAGTAACTCTGTACCAAATAACAACTTGTCGAGACTGCTGTTGGCCATGTACTCATACACAAGGAGAGGCTCCGGTCCACTGCTGCAGCAGCCGAGAAGGCGGACTAGATTCCTGTGATGGACATTGCTTATGATCTTCACTTCACTTTGAAATTCCTCCTTTGCTCTGCGACTTCGTCCTAGAGAAAGTTTCTTGACTGCTGCCACTTTACCATTCTTCAAAACCCCCTAGTTAAGTAATCAACAACAGTTACAAGAAAGAAAAAACAAACTTATCAGTTTCTCCGAATTGCTGCTAAGTTTTTTAGCCAGTCTGTCAAGTCATGCTAGAGCAAATCCCTGACCTTGAAAACTTCACCAAATCCTCCTTCTCCCAGCTTATACTCCTCACTGAAGTTCTTAGTTGCTACTTTCAGGTCCTTGTAACCGTAGTTAACTGGACCTTGCAACTCAGTTACTCCCAATATGTCACCTTTCGGCAAAGCCTTCTGTCTCCTGGACACCTTACACCACAAAACTATGGCAACCGCAAGTAATAGGATACCACCACCTATCCCTCCTCCGACCACTGCAGCAATTATGATCTTCTTGCTAGAACGTCCTGCGAAACAACAAGCTTTCAAATTCCTGATTGAAACAGCCTGCAAATCAGCACAAGTAGGAGGGAAGGGGAAGGATAGGAAGGTAAAAACTAAAAACCCCACTCACCATTTCGTAAGAAGGGCAATATATCAGTTGTTTGATTATCTCGAACGAAAGGAGAGTTGGAGAACCTAAGAAAACAACCCACGTTGACGGCACTGGCAGCAGTTTTCGGAAAACATCTCCGTAAATCATTGAATCCCTGTTGCAAGCAATCTTGGCAACCCTTCTGGCTGATGGTTTCAAGGCACTGTGTAACACCATAGACTGTTACATTCCCACCAACACCACCAGCAGGAGGAGGCCTCAGTTCTCTCTTGCTTGCTGCGTAGACGCCATTGATCTTCGGGGTGGCGATTATAAGATCTGACAGCAGATGTTCCACAGCTACACTGTAAGAAAAGTTACCCTTTGTCTCTGTGGTCTGATTCTCGCATACTCCTCTGTGCCCATCCTGATTGCTCTGGTCAAAGAAGCTGTTGCTCTCGTACCTCAACAAAGCAGCACGAATCGAAATTGAGTGCAAAAAAAAAAATGGAAATCTGACTGCTTATATCAACAATTATGTTGAGGGGGGAAATTCACCTTAGGAAGCAACCATAAAGTACGACATGGGCGCCACTGGCAGCAGAGCAATTGAGGATTCTGGTAAAAGCATCATTGAAGCAGGCGAGGCAATCAGCTGTGGATAAGTATTTCCTGCACTGAACCATGGCGTAGACTGGCTCTTCCCCAGCAGGCTGCTGGACTGTTGCGAAATACTTGTTCTCCCCATTCTTGAGCTGATCTCTGAGCTGAGAGAAGCTTGAATTGATGTTTGCAGCAAACAAGGGAAAGCTGCCAACTTTATATTGGCTACAAGCGATGCTCAGCAGATTGATTCCTGGGTCACTAGATACCATCTGCACCACGTATCCCCATAAGAGAGTGAATATACATAGAACCCAGAAAGCTGTTTTTGTGCCTGCCATCTTCTTTCTCCTTCCTTCTTCTCCTTCAGTTATAGCCTTCTCATGTTGTCAGCCTGTGGGAGGACAAAGCAAGTTAGTACCCAACATTATGAGTTTCCCATTGTTAACTTTTGATTTTCTGGCTATGAAGGAGTAATGGAATTGGATTGCTCATTCTGTTGATGCTGTACTTAATTACTCAAAGTTGATCATGGAGGAAAATACAGAAAACTACTGCACTCAAGGTTCGAGCAGGTAGGGGAGAAATCCACAAAAATGGATTCGTTAATAGAAGTAAACCTGTCTTTTTCTCTCTTCTTCTTTCCCCGTCATCAAAGATTGAAAACAGAGGGAAGTTAAATAAACACAGCAGGAAGCAGGTATGCATTGTATGTCCGCCGGCGGCTGCAATTCATAGGACTCAATGAACCACATATATGTATCTGGCTATCTTCGTTTTAGAACCCACCACATTTAGTTAGAACTTGGATATTTCAACAATAATGCAAACATCAAGAGTTTCTCACCAGTTGAATGTGTACTATCTGATCTTCCAATGTAGTTAAAAGCTATAGTTTAAGTCTAAAAGCTTACGCTTTTAAGTTCTTACCTCCTCCAATATAGTAATTTTCTTTGAAAAATCTTTTGACACCATAAGCTTAATATAAACTCTTTAAAACCACAATATGTGCATAAAAAATCCTTAAAAGCTAGCTTTTAGGACGCTTATAAGAGCTTTTAATGATAATGTTTATGGAGCGATTTGGCACGTCGTGCGATGGTCAAATGGTTTTTTGTGGATGAAAAAACTAAAGTGATCATGCCGCTGGCTTCAAAATGATTCTTTTAACATGAATGATGATTGATGTATTTATGAGGAGCATGATGTTAGTGACAATAACAACTATGATGATGGCGGTAATTAAGATGATATGATTTGGATGGAAATGTGGACGTTGCTGCCCAAATGTAGCATAAATCATGATCAATTTTTTTGGGGGGCTTGTGATGTCCATAATATGAATATTTCAGAGTTATGATTCATATTAGCGTACGATTCAACTCTTTTTCTATGTTTATGAACTTGTTCTGAGTTAGAATGTACTCTAGTTCAAAATCTTTTCCAATTTTCTGTGTGTGGATCCTATTAGTCTTTTAAGTTGCTTTTTTACAATTTCAATGGTTCATATAAACTTACGTTCTTACGCTCCGCTTTTACGCTTAAGTTTGTACCCATCATTTCGCTTATACATAAAAACTATAGTTTAACTACATTGTGATCTTACATTGACTAACAACTTTCAATTTTATAAGTCGTCTGTGATCTTTTATTGATTTTCTTATTTTTCACATTAAATTGTCTTGGTCAAATATTTTAAGTGTCTAACATTTCCTTTAATCGGTGATAACAACTTGGTTAGGAGATCCAAACTATTATATATAATGATAAATCTGAGCCATTTTTCTATCCGATGAATTTGATGCATTATAAAATGCAGTGTTTGGCATGTGTTATTGTGTATGTCACATCAGGTAAAAGATGAGATGTAATAATCTCAACTAAACTATTTCAACAATCTCAGCTAAAAACTGAGATATAACAATCACTCATTTTGAGTGATAGTTTCTATCACAGAAAAAATGATGTATTCTAAACAATACAAGTATTGTAACAATCTCACAAAAACAATCACAACCTCCAACGGACCCTTTTGTAGTTGAACTTGAACCTTTCGGTGATAGTAGACAACCTGATCGATGATAGATTTGTTCCCCAATTAAAACACACATAACTCGCACGCATCATTTAAATTAGACCAAATACCAGAAAAGGGTTCATAGTTTATGCTTTCTGTCAGTTGTACCCCTATGTTTATCATGCATCAATTATGTCCCAACGTTTTGGATCCGTTAACTTTGACCGTTAGTGGTCTACGGTCAATGTATCGACCAATGATGTGTCATATGACGTGGCTTCTTTTGCCATGTCACTCAAAACATAATATTTAGAAATAAGATTTGGATGTATTTTTAATAAAAATTTAACAAATTAAAATAAATATATTTGCAAAATAAAATAAAAAATATTTGCAAGCCCACTATTTACAAGCCGACTTTTCCCCAAATCTCATATCTGCAATAAAAATGAACAAGCAAAAAACCTCAAATCCCATCCCTTACCCGTTCCTAAACCCCCCAAATCCCACAATCGAATCTCCGACCCATTATGCAATATTCCTCTTCTTCGCACCAAACCAAGGAATTAAACAGAGAGCTGGTGTGCAGCTAACTAACAATTAGGGTTTTCCAGCATCGCCTACCCCTTACCACCATTGTCATTTGTCGGCAAAGCTGCTGGCCGTCGTGCCACCACGAACGCCACCACCAGTCGCCTACGCTTCTTTACCCCTGCCAGACGCCACGATCGCCCCCAGGAATAAGAGAAAGAAGGGACATCGGGACTGCAGTCCACCCTTGGAGGATCTGGGGAGCAATTTCGTCGCCTTCGCCGTACATTCCCCATCATCGTTGACTGCAATTTCTTTTTCTGAGTGTATGATCAGTTCTGGACAGAAACAAGCAAAACAGAGGGAGGATCGAGATCTGAAGGTTGGGGAGCTTCTTCTGGATGTATGATTTCTGGGCAGAAACGAGCAAAACAGAGGTAGGCCGGATCAAGATCTGAAGGCTTGGGAGCTTTGGTCGCTCTATAGTTATGCCTTGGGTCGGTGGGCTGCAGTGACGTCGCTGGTCGGGGTTGCACACCGTGGCGACACCTCTGGGAATCGAGAGAGAAGAACGCAAGTTTGAGAGAGCAATACAATCTTTTTGATTGTGACCACCTTCTTCTTCTTCTTCCCTCTCCCTTTACGCCTAAAGTTTCCGGCGAGCAATGGTGACAAAGGAAGAAGTAATTCTTTGGCGGAGGTTGGATAGGAACGATGGGTTTTGTGTTTATTAATGGGCTAATTGCAAGATTGGTCACTGAGATTACTAAAATTATTCATGTTTAGTCACTAAAAATATTTAATTCCATTCATGGTCCCTAAAATTAGTAAAACATTTCAAGTTCGGTCACTCTCCGTCCAACTCCGTTAACTTTGGTTGATGTGGCAGTCAACTCTTAAAGTTGACCGTTAAATGTGTGACGTGGCACTTAAAAAATAATAAAAAATAAAATTTTATACTTTAAATATTACACCTAATTATTATTATCACTAAAAAAATAAAAATAGAAACCTAATTCTTCTACTACCTCCGCTGAACCCGCTTTCTCCTCCCCGACTCCACCCGCCGCCATCACGGCTGAAGGTCCGACTGGTCACCACTAATTAGTAGAGCTAACTAAAAAACCCAGAGCAGCTAACAACACCCACCACCGCAAGTCCACAACTACAGAAACACAAACTATGGCAGAAACCTATCTGCAAAAACTCGCTCTATTCTTCTTCATCTTCTACATATACGCGAGATGAGACCTAGCAATCCGCCCTTGCGCGCTGCCATCGCGGCTGAAGGTCCGACTGGTCACCAAGAAGCGAACCATCATCGCCACCATCTACCAAATCATCATCTCTGATCCTTTCACCTTCTCACTAATCACACAATTAAACGCCGACACAAGAAGCGAACTCGAAGGCGACCAGGTGAAAACCGCCGAACCTGCATACATCACATCCACGGCTTTATTAAACTCCTCCACCCTAACCTCCTTCCGAACCGTCTCCAGCTCCGGCCCAACGATCCGTCGGTCCCATTCCAAAATCCACCACCTTTTCCCCTTCTTCTCATCCTCACTCTTCCCCAGCAACTCCTCGGGCTTCAATATCTTCACCTATCCCATCACGAGATTATTCCCCGGAAGCTTCGCCACCATCGACTGTTTCGATCGCGACGCCGCCCTATCCCTCTGGCTCCCCAAGGGACTCCTCTTCCGCCTGCGAGATTTGGCCCTAGGGTTAGGGTTCGCCACCGCTCCCCTCCCTTCTTGGCCATTGCACTCATCGTCCTCGTACGTTGGTTCCCCAATTGATACCTCCTTTACTATCTTGTTTTAGATTTGGGGATTTTTGAATTTGCCGTTGTGGAGTTTTTCACAGAGAGGATTGGCCGTGATGGCGGCGGGTGGAGTTGGGGAGGAGAAAGCGGGTTCGGCGTAGGTAGTAGAAGAATTAGGTTTCTATTTTTTTTTTTTTTAGTGATGATAATAATTAGGTGGAATATTTAAAATATAAAATATTAATTTTTTATTATTTTTTAAGTGCCACATCACACATTTAACGGTCAACTTTAAGAGTTGACTGCCACATCAGCCAAAGTTAACGGAGTTGGACGGAGAGTGACCGAACTTGAAATGTTTTACTAATTTTAGTGACCATGAATGGAATTAAATATTCTTAGTGACTAAACATGAACATTTTTAGTAATCTCAGTGACCAATCTTGCAATTAACCCAAAAATTGAAAAATAAATAAATTATTATTAGGAAATGAAATAAATATATATTATAATAATTGGGTTAATTGCATTGTTGGTCACTGAAATTACAAAAAACGTTCATGTTTGATCACTTGAAATATTTAAATCCATTCATGGTCACTACATTTAGTAAAACAATTCAAATTTGGTCACTCTCCGTCCAACTCCGTTAACTTTGTCTGATGTGGCAGTGAACTTTCATAGTTGACCGTTAAATGTATGACATGGCAATTAAAAAAATAATAAATAATAAAATCTGAAATTTCTTACTTCATTATCAAGTTATCATTACCCCTAAAATAAAAAATAAAAAAAAATTAATTTTAACTCCCTAAACTATCTCATTAATTATCAACAGCTCCTCACTCCCACCTCCGCCGCCTCCATGCTCCTTCTCCGCCGCAAGGAACCACAGCCCCAACCTCTTTCTTCTGCTCCTCCTCTCTCGAAACCTTGTCGGGGGCATATTGGTCCTTTCCAAACATGCCTTCTTCCCCGTCAGCAATTCTCTTCTCACTGCCTCGCCGAAGTGGTAGTCGCGCGCTTAGCCGCAGAAACAAGGAGAAGCGGAGAAACCAGTTACACCGAGCGACTTATTCAGTCACAGATCCAGAGAGAGGGAGAGGGAGAGATTGGGGAAGGGAAAGTGGTTATGAAACCCTAGAATTGCCCTGCGCCTTTGTGGTATGGAGAAATGGTGGCTGGAGTGCAAAATCCCAAATTCAAAGCCGTCTAGGATTAGGTGATCAGCAGGTCGAGAAAAAAAATCATCTGAGAAATATAATCACGTGCGACCGAAGTACAATTGGTTAGGGTCGACGGTGATGGGCTTCCGGTGGTCGGATTCAGGGATATACGAAAGCAGCAGCGCCGATGAAGTAGAGCAAGAAGCCAAGAACGAAGTAATGCTAAGCAGGTTTAGGAAATTAATATGAATAATTTTTTATTTTATTTTATTGGTAGTGATAGAGGTGGAAATTTCAAATTTAATTTTTTTAATTTGTTTAATTGCCATGTCATACATTTAACAGTCAACTATGAGAGTTGACTGCAACATCAGATAAAATTAACAGAGTTGGACGG